TTTGAAAATTTGGTTATTTTATTTAGATGGGTTCAATTTAATTTGACAAATTGATGGAATCTCCATCCCAATTACGAAATTGTCTCATTTTTCTACTGAGTTATAAAGTATAGATTAATTCTGATTTCTTGGATCTATAGTAAAATAAAATTTCGATTTAAATTTGAATATTCAACATATATGAACAAAGAGCAAACTATTCCAATTAATCCAATTAAAAAAAAAAAAACTATACATGTTAAAAGTTGTTGATGCTTTTGGCACATATGTGGGTCTTGGTTTAGGAAAAATGACACAATTATAGTTTCGAGAACTAGAATGAATGACACCTTGAAGCAAACCATTGACTAAAATGGATTGTATGTATAATGACATTGAAAGCAACATATAGATCCTTATCAACTATTCAAATTTACATGTCTAGCACTTAAACAATAACATTTATCCACTTCATTTCCCAAAAAAAAAAAAAAAACTTTTGGAAATCAATTAAGTCATGTTTGAATTTAGAGTTACAAATGAATCCAATTTTAGTGAAGTTAAGTTTGGCTAGATAAAGATATTTTTAAATTCAAGTTTGATTCAATTGGATTTATTTAAAAATAATTAAATTAGTTCAGCTCGAATTCAACTCGGTGATTATAAATAAACTCGGTTTATTAGCAATACAGATTATTTATAGTCCTAAATTTGATAATTATAATATAATAATTTGATTTTATCATCAAGGGCGGAGCTCCCTTGGAGCCTAAGGGTCGTGGCCCCCAAAAATTTTCTTATGAAACTGATATTTTAATCTTTCAAAATATAGAAAAATTACTATTGGCTCTCTTAAAAGTTTAACAAAATTTTTTTCGGCTTTCTAAAATAATTATCCTGACTCCGTCCCTATTTATCATGAATAGTAGAAGGAAAGTGCACCATTATGTTATTAGCTTTTCTTCCTTCTTTTTCTATTTTCCTCATCCAATTGCTAGCTTTAGCATGATATAGCATCATTGATGATTAATTTTGTATAACTAATATCTAAAAAGCTTTCTTTTTTTAATTTAAATATTAATGATGGGTAGGTTCTTTTTCTATTTTCATTATTATCTCTTTGTTATTTTACTATCACAATCTTAATCCTCACTCATAATTATAAACAAATGTTAGCTTATTGCCTTGTTGAAGCCTAATGAGACAATTACAATCAAATCAAATCAAATCATGAACACTATTTTTTTTTTTTTTAACATAATGGAAGTAGATATATTAAATTCTATTATAGATCATCCAATTTTGTTTTCCTACAAAAATTCAGGAGGGCTCATTATCCCTTTTTGCCTCCTACATGGCTCCATCCATGCCACTAATAATAAATATTAAAAAAAATTAATCTTAATATATTAAAATCTCTATTTTTAAAAAACTAATTGTAAAAAATTTTTAATTTATGATTCTATTAATACGTTGGTCCTTCTATCCAAAACAACCTCTTTCAATTATTAATTGATCGAGAAATTAATCCATAAATTATGATCAAATTAATTACAATTCTCTAATTTATTATTTTTATTAATATTTTGATCCTCTCATTGTGATTTCTATTAATACATTGGTTCCTCCGTATTTCAAAATCCCAATTATGAAATCCCTTTTCTCCCACTTCACACATCGGAACGCATCGTTTTTATAGAGAAAGAGTCGCTTTCGCATCCTAATAGTTAATTTTTTAAAAATGAAAATTCTCATATATTAATTTAACTATATCTTAAGAGACCAATTTATTATCTTCCCTAAAAAAAACATATCATAGATTGTTAGAGAAATTACCATCCTAAAGCTTATAATGTAATCACAAATAATTGTCAAAACTACAATTGAAATTTTATGTTTTTTAAGTTTGATCAAGATTGCATTTAACATTATGAAAAAGGAAAAAAAATGTTAAAAACAAAAGTAAAATGATGTGGTATTATTGTGGCCGAATACATCGCGTAAAGACAAAAAAATTCTTATGGCACCATGAACTATAAAATTAATATTGTGCCACCTTGAATTTTATTGTTTCAATAATTTCACACCTCTTTACGTTAAAAATCATAAATTTTAAGATTTTTTTTCGCTATTATATGCAAAATATTGATTTGATACATGGTTGCTATTAACTTTTATAACAATAATTTTATATTTTTAAATTTTTCAATAAGAATTTAATTGATCTAATTTTTTAAATTAATGTGTTCAACAATCAAAGAAAGTATTCAATATATATAATTTATAAATTGAAATATTTAACGAGTCAAAATAAAAATTAAAGATATTATAAGAATTTTTATAAAAATACAGAGATAAATTTATGTATTTGCATCTATTATTGCATAATAGAGGACAAGTGACTATCCAACCATAACTCACAGTTCTCTCCAATAATTTTTGTTGGAAATATGCAACAATCCAAAATAATAATGAAAAAAAATTACACAAATACGGTTAAAAAAGAAAATTGAAGGACTCTCTGTCACATCACATGCAACGTGTAAGGTTTAAAAATTATATTTAATAATTTAATATTTCTGTTTGGTTGTTAATTTGGCGTTAGGTGTGGATAGGGATTGTTTTGTATTTGTTGGCCTCTTTATTTCTTTATGTGAAGAATAAGAAATGAATGTTTTCTCAATCATAAGTTGATTTTATGCATTTTACACATGATCTTTGAGTAGTTAAGTTATTACTACATAATTTTGTTTAGGACAAATAAAAAGAAAGTTAATAATGCAAACTCTAATAATCATATATTCCTTAATAATTCCTCATTTGCAAAATATAAGTTGTTTTAAAGTCTCAAATTCGAGTCCTGAATATAGACTTTTTTTTAAACACTTGAGAAGAAGCCGTTTTGCCAATTTTAGTAGATCTGTACGGCCCGAATCCAAATTAATCAGGTTAGTAGATTTTGTATACTGAATGGTTAAAACAATAAAAAAATATAAGTTATTTTAAAGCTATTGTTTTGTTCTAAAATATAAGACAATTTGAGTATTTTAAAGAGTAATAAATGATTTTCTTTTTCAATTTACTCTAATTTATATTAAATATATAATTATCTTTATAAGTTTTTCTTTATTTTGAAATAGAGAGTATTTTTTTGATTTCATCTTTTTGTCTCTCTATTCCCACTTTATATTTTTAATAAATAAAGTTATAAAAATTACTATCGTTCTTAAATACTTATTACATTTAAGAAAATATTGTATATATTCTGAAATACTTGTCAAATTTATAATTTTATAAAGTAATAAATATTTTTTTTATATTTACACATAATATAGGATTAATTATAAATTTAATATCTCAATTTTCATAAAATTTATATTTGAGTATTTTTTCGAAAAATATTTGCAATTAAATACTTGAATTGATTACTTTATTTACGCTGCGGAATACCAATAGAAATGCAAGTAGGATGCATAGGGCCACTTTATCTGTTTAATGTAATGATTCGGCTTGAGTAATGAAGCCACGTAGGAATCGGCATTCACAAAGTGTCCCTGGGCTTGCCTTCTGTAGTTCTTTCCAAGAAGCGTTGAAAACGTCACCGTAACAGTCATGCCTCTCTTTTGCTTATTATTACCTTGAAAGCCCTTTTTTTTTACCAGATCGACCTCCAAGTACTCCTCCGACGAGCTCGAACACGAAGATGTACTACTGGAACTCGAAACAAAACTCGAATTTGAAGTCAAGTCAGAACTCGATAATCCACTCGTGGATGGATACTCCACACCGTCGATCAAGTTGGATAAGATCCAAGCCGCTTTGTTAATATCACTATTGGCTTCTCTACAAGCCGAGGAAGCTTCTTCGAATGAGATCGAATCAAAAGCTTCCATTACATAAACAACAAGAAACCAAAGCAGTGTCTCTTCATTGATGACTACAACTGAGGCACTTGTTTTTGAACTTCCTAAGCATGAGACTGAAGCTCCGGCCAGCAATCCCATGATCAACGTTAAACTCGTTTCTCTAGACGGACGTTACGCGTTGGATTACTTAGGTAGGCGCGTGATGTTACGCCCTAGTAAAATGGACAATCTTTTCTAACAAGAAACGGAAGCCACACATACCATTCATGTCCTAAGAACGATAAGCAAAATCCCTTTGTTACCTCGTGACATCCACTCTCGCTCAATCGATGTCGTTTTACAACATTCCAAAACAAACCGTACTGGCACAAACCTGGTCGATATCGTCTGATAGGCGAGTACAGAACATATTTTCATACACCACAGCGAGTGAAGCTTTTGTATTTTTATTTCTCGTGATAATTTAGATTGCATGATCTTATCTCAAAACGCCACGTGTGGCACGTAACGTATCATTTTCAAAGAAAATGAAAAATAGAAAGGACAGCCTCACGGCTTTGTCAAACTAATATCATCACGGTCCAGTGTTAGACAGCCACGTACTCGAGCAATCCTTGTCTAACAGATGACGTGTCAAACTTTTTCTCTCACTTTTCCTTTATATAGGCTCACTTTTCTAGCATTCGGCTTCAATTTTCTAAGATTGACTCGATCAGTATCTAGTCCTCACGGCTTTCTCGGAGGAAAAATAATTTCTTGTTAAGAAAGAAGGGAAGAACAAGAGGGGAAATCTGTTGCTACAAAATTTCTCGGGAAAATCTTTAATATACATTTTCTCGGGAAATCTACAAAGACCAAATCAACCAAAAATTTTCAAAAGAATTTTCAAACAAAATCTCTTAAAAGCTCGAAATTTGCTGAGCTTTTGCCTTTTGCATTCCATTTTGAGCTCGTAATTTAACTGGTTACCTACCTCAAATCGATTTTAGTAATCCTCGATTTTCAGGGTTCGCTGACTGTTCCATGGCCTTGTTTGAAGCAGTAACCGTTTGTTCCTGGTTACTGTAACCGTCACCATTAGAGGAGTTGGATTTTTTTTTTTTTTTTTTTTTTTTTCTGTTCATGGCAATTGTTGAAGCCAGTAACCGTTTTGTTCTGGTTACTGTAACGTACCATTAAGGAGTTTGGATTTTTTTTTTTTTTTTTTTTTTTTATCTCAGTTTGAAAGTGTGAATTCATTTTGGTGCGATTAAGAATTTTAACTCCGATCGCGCATTTTGTTCGTCTAGCAATTGCAAGTAAGTGTTGTTTATTTAGCTACTTCAGTTAAGTGATCTCCTTCCAGTTAGTGACTCCAGAGAAGGATAAAAAAGGGGAAAAAGGTAGAAGAAAGATGACGATCGAGTCATTACCAGGAAGTTCAGGGTACTTAGATTTGTTCCCGGAGAGGAGGATGTCTTATTTCAGTAATAATTATGTTTTAAGATTAACTGTGATTGCTGGTATAGGAGGTTTGCTCTTCGGCTACGATACAGGTATCGCTGTACTTGTGTTTGAACTTAATTGGCCTTTCTAAAAAATAAACTAGAAGAGTAGATATGAGATTTTCTTTCTTTCTTTTTTTTCGAGAATTGAACAATATCGAACGATCAGCGGATCAGGCTTCTGATGTGAAATGAAATGCTGTTTGGTTTATCATTGATATGTTTTTCTAATATGAAGATGTTTGGTTGCAGGTGTTATTTCAGGTGCCCTTTTGTACATAAAAGATGACTTTGAGGTGGTCAATCAGAGTAGCTTCCTACAGGTAAAGCTTTTCTTGTTGGATTAATCAAAATGTTAAGACTTTATGTCAAAGGAAGTGTATTCCATTTTTCTTCTGTTTCTTCAGTTGGGAAAGTTACAAAAAGGAATTGGAAATAAGTGTGGGACACAGTCCCTGATTGGATTGTTTCTCTTTCATTTGATGATTTGAATTACTACTATTCGCTTTCCTGCTCACAAAAAAAAAAAGTGAATAATTGCCATCGGAATAGCCATGGGATCATGATGATGATATATGGATCATTAAGAATCAGAATTTGGAATTTAAAGAGGCTCTTGTGATTTTTTTTTTTTTTTTTTTTTTTTTTTTTTTTTTTTTTGGTGTAAATGGACTGATTTTTATTTTATGCTTGATTTTTTTTTTTTTTTTTTTTTTTGGGTTTGAAATGGCTGATTTTTATTTTATGCTTCTGAATCGGTAGGAAACAATTGTTAGCATGGCCCTAGTTGGTGCAATCATAGGAGCTGCATCAGGGGGTTGGATTAATGATACTTACGGACGCAAGAAAGCTACTCTGATTGCTGATGTTGTCTTTGCTGCCGGAGCAGTTGTCATGGCAGCTGCACCAGATCCATATGTTCTTATTGCAGGTCGATTTTTAGTTGGTCTTGGCGTGGGTATAGCATCTGTCACTGCTCCTGTTTATATTGCAGAAGCATCACCATCTGAAGTAAGAGGAGGATTAGTGAGCACAAATGTTCTTATGATAACTGGTGGACAGTTTCTTTCCTATCTTGTTAATCTTGCATTTACACAGGTTAGGTTAACCTTTCCTTTTACTTCGAAGCATATTAGAACATGGTCTGGCATCTTGCTTTGTTGGAAATTGAATCAAGTAAATGGTCAAATTTGATTATTCTATATTCCAGACAAGTTATGAATATGAACCGCCACTTTAGTTTAGGATTACGCCATGCCTAAATATCACGGTTAATTTGGAGCATATTTGCTTTGTGTGGGGGCCAAAAACAACGCCTAAGTGTGTGTCTGGAGGGAGGGGGAAAGAGTTAGTATAGTTTGCAATGTGACCTCTCTGGCCAGTTGGCTAGATTTGTAATCATGATAGTGCTTTTCAACCAAACTAGTTTCTAGCAATTGAGTTTGGCTTTTGCAAGAATATAATACTAGTTTATGTTTGTGCGCTGCAATGGTAGTATCTTAGCAATATGTTTTGCAATGACTTTCAAATGATTTGCAATTTAATTTCCTAACATGCTTAAATTATCCATTAAAAATTGCTGAACTCTTTTCTGTTCCCATTTATTTTTTAAACTTTAAGGATTAAATTAACTGTCTGCATGTCTTAAGATTGATCATCTGTATACAAATTTGTAGTGGAAAGAGGTTATTTTATTAAGCAACTGAAGGCTGTCTTATGCTGATTTTCTAACTCATTTAAATTAGTTAATTTAGTAGTTTATGAAATGATCATCTATACAAATAAATCATACTTGAGGTTAATTATCTGGAAAAAAAATCTAACCTTGACTTGTAGGTATGCAGAGATTGGAATACTCTTTTTTTTCCTATTTGAACAGTCTAAAATCTAAATATTTAACATTCTATGGTCATTTTAGGTAAAGTTTCACTTAGTTACAAAAGGAATTTAACATAATAAAGCATTCTTTTCCCTTCGAAATAATTGTTTAGAGGATGATAAGCTGTGAAAATGCACCAAAGTAGGCTTTTTGTTGTGTTTGATGCAGTGTTGAGAGTATATATTCTGTGTCCTTTGTATCAAGTATTTTTTTGAATGCTCAAGTTATAAATTGCACTAGTAATTCTGCTTTCAAGTGCAAAATTGTTGCTAAGAAATTTGTTTTATATTCGTTACATATATCCTGTTGTGTGGAAGTGTTCATTGTGCAGCTTTGAAGATACAGCAAGATAGAATATGGGGATTGAATTTTTAAGATTTATCACTGAGAAACACTACTGATGGTTTCTTTCCTCCCCAATTTTGACGATTCGTGGTGCTGTAGTTGTTAATGGAATGTGACATGTTCCCATTGGCTTAAAATCATCATTTTATAGTTTGCTTAGTTGTTTTCATATTCTTATACAAAATAACATATATGAGCAATTCTTTTACCCCCTTGCTGCTAGCATCAGTTTCTTCATTATATTGATTTACTTATAAGGGGTGAATGAGTCGACAGAGTTATATAGATATGGAAAGAGTATAAAGATGACATTTAAAGTCCGGTTTTTCTGAAAACATATGTAAGAAGTTTTCTCTATTTTGAAATTTACAGTATATTTTAAGTTTTTAAGTTTCTGAAATATACTTTTAATTGTAGAACATCAACAGTTATTGCTGACTTTTTGCTGTTGTGTGCTCCTGCAAATTGTTAACTTAATGCTCTCCTCATTTTTCAGAAGAGTAATCAATATCCCATGACAAACCAATTTCCCCTGTCCCAATTTTAGAGGTCTCAATGATATTCTGCCTTAAAAATAAGGGTCAATGTAATTTTCACTTGAAAAGGTTTTTGGAACGTGGATCATTCAGTACCCTGTTGTTTTGGGCTGATTTCATATTCTCAATGTTTATATCACATAATCTTTCTTTCTTAATCATGATGAAGGTGTTGTAAGGTCCCAGGTCTTGGTATGAGCCAAGTGACTGTGTTGTGATAAATGCCTCGTAGTTAGGTAATGATATCAATTTTTCCTGTTGGTATTCTGTTGGAAATACTGTCTGGTTGGTGCTCTCCCTTTTTTTTTTTTTTTTTTTCCCTTTTTTTTTTTTTTTTTTCGGTATTAATCCCTTTTTTTTTTTTTTTTTGGTATATACTATTAGCCAAAATTTTGGCTTGTTCACATTGCTTCAGCTTTTTTCTTGTTACAGCTATGCCAGCTTTTTTGTTTCTCCGCCATCACACACTAATTATTCTGTCCTAAAAGGTTACACTTTGTTGGTTCTCTCACTGATATAGTGTAGCCTCATCATTTTAAACTTTCTTTTGTAAGGCCATTTATTGATTCTAAGGCAAGAAGAGAGGCATGACACCTATCAAGTATATGCATATCATGTATAATTTAGATATTGGTTTGATTGAAGGAGCAAATTGCATAAGCTGAAGCATTCTTTCAAGATTCTAAATTTTCTCGGAAAATATATTAACTTTTTAGGTAAAGAGTTAAAATTGAGTCAAATGCAAACTCATCAGCTTCTCAAATTTGTTCAGAAATAGTTTAACTTCTCAAAAGATAATCATATATGAACTTCATAAGCATTTTAGCCATGATCATTCTTTGTTTTTTGGTTTTCAGAAGTTTTTCTACCTTGTTCTGGATGGCTTTCTCATTTTGTTTGTTGCTTCAACAGGTCCCAGGAACATGGCGGTGGATGCTTGGAGTTGCAGGTGTACCAGCTGTGATTCAGTTTTTTCTTATGCTCTGTATGCCAGAATCTCCTCGCTGGCTTTTTATGAAGGTATATGACATGCCAATTATTCCATGGAGAAAGTAATGTGGAATACCATTTCAATACCAGTTTATGTTATCTTTATATGCAGGATGATAAAGATAAAGCCATTATGACACTGGCTAGAATATATGACATTGCTCGATTGGAAGATGAAATTGAACACCTTTCTGCTTCAGCGGAGGAAGAACAACAGAGAAAGAAGGTTGTCAGATACTTGGATGTGTTCAAATCAAAAGAAATCAGACTCGCATTTCTTGCAGGTGCTGGACTTCAGGTAAGATCAGGGAAAAATCCTCATGAATCTGAATGATGATGTGCTTGAATGATCATGCTTGGCCAACATAATTATACTATTTGCTGCTAATATTAGTTGGGTGATATGCTTTATCAGCCATTGCAACATATATATTAGGTCCTTAGTTTCCATTTTGCAGCACTATATAATGTGACGTTTTGTGTGGAAAATATCCCTCATATATTGTTTTCCTTCTTTGACAGCATTATAGCAGCAGTATTTTCCTTTTCGTTTATGGATTGGGCAATATTTAAACTTAATATATATATCCACTGCAGTCTATTACACCTACTCACTGCCGGAATATTGGCTAGGCCGGTGGTGACATTACTATGGAACTGGGTATTTAGTAGTAATATCTGTGTAATATGAAGTCAGGAAACTTAGATCTTTTCTTATGTGTAATCTTTGTGCTATATTAAATGGGAAAATTGTTTGCTGGTGCTTTAGGTTTTCTCAGCAGTAATTTAAGATATTATAGTTCTAATTGGGCTTTCATTTCCTGAGATTTGGAATTATTTTGTACGAGGCAGACAGGCAACTCTCCCTGTCAGCCATTCTCACGTTCAACTTCTTGCTTCTGTAAACCATTAAAGGGAAAAAAAAAAAAAAAAAAAAAAAAAAAACCATATAAAAGGAAAAAAAAAAAAAAAAAAAAAAAAAAAAAAAAAAAAAAAAAAAAAAGAGGAAAATGTGCCTATTGAAAATATTGCATCACTTTAGGTGTGCTTTTGATATCAGGTATTTATGACATCAATTGTCTACATTGCTACTCTCCAGTGAAAAGAATAGAAAAGAAATGTTAAAACGAAAATGGGCAAGCCCCCTTAACAAGTGTGTAATTTATTGAGATTTTTTATGTTGCAGGCATTTCAGCAGTTCACTGGCATCAATACAGTCATGTACTATAGCCCAACCATTGTCCAGATGGCTGGCTTCAATTCTAATCAATTAGCTCTTCTCCTTTCCCTCATTGTTGCTGGAATGAATGCTGTTGGAACAATCCTTGGTATTTATCTTATCGACCATTTTGGGCGGAAGAAGTTAGCACTCTCAAGCTTAACCGGTGTAATTTTTTCTCTTGTCATACTTGCTGGGTCTTTCTTTGCGGAGTCATCTGATTCTTCAAATGGAATGTATGGGTGGCTTGCAGTTTTAGGGCTAGCTCTATACATTGCCTTCTTCTCACCCGGAATGGGACCTGTTCCATGGACAGTGAACTCTGAGGTATATCCAGAGGCATATAGAGGGATATGCGGAGGAATGTCAGCTACTGTGAATTGGGTTTCTAATCTGATTGTGGCACAAACATTCCTTTCAGTTGCTAATGCTGTGGGAACCGGTGCAACTTTCCTGATTCTTGCAGGTATTGCTGCGGCCGCAATTGTGTTTGTGATTCTATTTGTGCCAGAGACTAAAGGGCTTACATTCTCTGAAGTAGAGCAGATATGGAAGGAAAGAGCTTGGGGCAGTAGTTATAACACAGAGAGCCTTCTCGAGCAGGGAACCGAGGCTCCATAGTTGTAAGTAGTTCAAATAATAGCAGCATTATACATATATGGTTGGTATCTATCTTAGAATTACATGTGCCTATCAAGGTCCATGCATGGACATATTTTCAGAGCAGTCCGGCATGGCCGTGAATATTCTTCTAGGGTTTACAGGATCGAGATGGACATGAAGCTTGTGAGTCTGACTTCTGAATGTTCTGAATATTTTTCTTGTGCAAGTGAGAGTGAGTTCGGACAGTATCTTTGGCTTGGAGTCTTTCCTATGGCTCCATAACAAAGGCTGTTCCTTTAGTATTGTGTTCTCTTCTTGGATTCAGGAAGTAGTCTGTATTTTAGAAATAGACAGGCTTTAGTATTTATTTAATTTAATATAATGTCATGTTATTTGTGATGTTCAAATTATTTATTTAGTTGAAACATTCATTTTCCTATTTCATATTGTTCAAAATAAATCTACATGGAATTTATAAAAGAAAAGAGGATAATTAACTATTTATTTCCAAATTTTGATTCAAATTACTATTATATCTCTACTTTGATTTTTTTTTTTTTTTTTTTTTTTTTTTTTTGACAAAATCACTAATTTGCGCCAGAGGTTTTTTTTTTTTTTTTTTTTTTGACAAAATCACTAATTTGTCGCCAGAGGTTTAGTTTTACTAAACTGTTTTGTCTTCTGTTCTAAAAAATATTATTTTTACGTTAAAATACCTCTTCTAATATTTGATTATTTGTCCTTAAAATTTAATATTGTATTATCGTCTAATCCTTCATATTTACTATTGACTTCCAATTTAATCCCTCATTTAATTAAAAAAAATGACACTTTTTGACAAAAGGGTAGCCACTAAATAATTTAATTAGGTTAAATCTCAACCTAAAAGATAAATTAGTTAATTTACCAAAAAATATAAATATAATAGTAAATTTCGACAAAATTAAGTAACTAAATATCGGGGAAAAAAAAAAAAAGAAAGAAAAACAAATGGGAACTTGATGTAAAATTGTCAGTGAAGACAAGCACTAAAAACAAATTATTATTAGAAAAATTACTAATCTCTCGTCAAAACTTCTAATTAGAGGTCGTACACAAATTAATTATTAGACAAAGAGCCCCCAGAATTGTTTTCCCATTTGCAGAAATTTCAAAGTATTAGTTGCTTTATATGCATTAGCAGTCAGTCAACGACAAATAATTTTAGCAGCACGACACCCACAAATACAGAAAAAATATTAAAAATTTCGAGTATTATTTTTCAAGATGTAGGGTAAGCAAAAAAATTTTTTATATTACTTTTCATTTTCGAGAGTAGTTAAGTTTGTTTAACTCCAAAAAGATTTGTTGCTTTTTATCAAATTTGAAAGTCAATATACATAAAATAATTTTGAATATATAAATAGAAATTTGTTTAATGAAAATGAATTAAGAAAGAAAAGTAGGTTAAGTTACATATTGTTAATTGACGAAGAAATTTTATTATTAAGCTTTCAAAGCTTCTCCCAAAAAATTAAGACGTACGCAGCTATGCTCGAGATATAATTAAAAATTTTTACTAATTTAATGAGTCTGAATAAAAAAATAAAATAAAACTTTAAAAATCTGACTAAGAAAAAAAAAAAAAAAAGAAAAACGGAAAAGTGAAAAGCTGAAAAAAGAAAAAAAGAAAATTCGTTTACGTTACGCTGTATAGAACGGTTGTATGATTGGCTGGACAGATATTAAAAAAGAACTCTCTAGATATCTCTGGAAAGAGTAGTATTCTCTTGCATCTCACAACCATCAGTTATATCCCTCTTATAGATAGTACAAGTCGTTAAACTTCATCTTCAAAACAGTTGCGACGCACCTGATCACATGATGGTTTAGGTTACAGATTTATAGCGTGGACGTCATGTACATCAGATTGCCACACAATATTAATTTGGACAGTAATAAATATAGGTGACCAGAAATGCTGACTCGTGTTTCCCGCTTAATTATTAACTGATAAAGACAAGCCACGTGGTTTGTTGGCCCGTTATTGTCCTTATTGTAAACTGCCCAATCGAAGGGTCCCACGTGGCTAATTGCAATTCCCTTAATAACATGCATGATCATGGCCCCACATACAAATGCATGGCATCATATGTATGTATGTATGGATGCATGCATGCATGCATGCATTTATGCAATATGCTTACGTAGGCTATGGCTTTGCCAGCTGGATAGTGCTAAGCCACCTAATTAATTTTATATAGAATTAGGCGAATTTTAGTGGAGTAAAATACTAACATTAGGTGCTTTAATCATGTCATCAATTTTTAATTTTTATAATTCTATATTTATATATATAGTTTTATCAAAATAACTTTTTAATTAATTATGAAATTTTGATTTTTAAGTGAAAGAAATTCAAACTTATGAAGTTACCAATAGTTCGAAATCTGATTGAGTCGGTTATCTGAATAAGTTAAGTTTTTTCAAACATATTAATAAAATAAATTGAATTTACTGATAAAAAAAAAACAATATCAGCCATCAATTTAACATTTGATCAAACCATTATAATTAATTAATTAATGAAAGCCAAAAATCAGCATATAAATGACAGAGGCCACATGATAAAATCAAGTGCATCTCTTGCAAGTCATTGACTCACAAAATAAAAGGTAGCAAAGCTGATTGGAGATTTTGGTTCTTGCAAGATTTTGTGGCAAGTGGGAAAGAAACAAAATAAAAGATAATCATTGATTTTCTGAAAATAAAAAAAAAACCCAATTATTTGCAATATAATATAATAATATTATTTCATAGCTCGAGATTTAGTCATCAAAACCAACAGGACAAGTTGATGATGATGATCAAGTGTTAGAAGTCAGAACATGGTATGCCTTAAGGCATGATTCCCCAAAGATACCGGATCATACATTTCTTTACTTACAAGCCTACAAAAATACCATCATATGCCGTTTGGATTTTCATGCAAATCTGTGGATTTCTGTTTTATATTATTATTATTATTATTATTATTATTATATGAACATTGAATAGCATGAAGGTCTAAGGATTCATGGAATTTAGTACTAAAGTTAAATCTTACAAGGTTAATATTTTAGCTTTTCTTACTTGAATGTTATATATATATATATATATATAATCTGGATGAAGGTTGCTCAATGGTAAAAAACATTGCTGGGCTGATCATTACGACTTAGGTCTTGGGTTTCGATCCTCTGCAATATAAATTTCTCAGACTAACTCATTTATCTTTAAAAGCGAGCAAAGATTAATCGAATTTATCGTGAACTGTAAAAACGAGCGTGGACCTGAGTCTTTTATTTTTATTTTTACTTTTATTATTAATTTAGGCTCTACTCGAATCAATGACAAAATATTACTCATTTCAATTATTAATATTGTGGCAAAATCATTGAAATGACAACATTTTGACATATTTAAGGTATTAGGTGAGATTTATTGACAAGAGAAGAAGATTTTCTCAAGCATTATTAATTACAATTACTAAATAGAGTATGTGATTATATTTCAAGCTTAGTGGATATATACAATTAATTGTTGTAAATTGAAAAGTTTATAGAGAAAATTGGTAAAACTAAAAAGTGTTGGGGAAAAAATTGAAAAAATAGCAAAGCAATTCAATATTCATAATAAAATTAGATTTGCTAAAAAGAGTAAAGTATTTAAAAGCTAAACCTTATAATTACTTAATTTTACAATTTTTGCTAGCTAATGGTGAATGAGCTTATAGTTGATCCAATCCTTGCTTAAGATACTTGAAAATAAATTCATATTGATGATGGATGATTAGTAATGAAATCCACCAATTTGTCAACTTGTTATTCAATTGGGTCCACAATTAAACATTAAACATGTACAATGTACTTAGGACCAACCAACATCATTAACTTTCACTGTGTTTGTCCAAGCATCTCCTCTTCTGAATTCTTATACTAGACAAAATTAGTTGTTTTAACAGCTGTTATATATTTTAATAGTATTTAGCTGTTTAAATAATTTTTCATAAACCGCTAAAAACTAACTTTTTATAAAATGATACATTAATATATAAAAGCTAATTCAAACGTTTGTATTACCGAACACTATAAAAAATAGTATTTAGTGTTTTGACTAATCAAAATGTTAAAAATTTTCTAAAAAGTTGTTGCTAACTCAACATTTTCTTTTATTTTCTTTTTTTTTTTTTTCTTAAAGCAATACCATAACTTAATTAGTTGATAACTATAATAACATCCTGCTTTGGAAACACTTGGATCAAGTATGATGTGAAGGGTGGTGGCAACTGTGGGTGTCTATATATATATACATATATATAACATCCTGGCTTTGGAAACCACTTGATCAAGTATGAGGAAGGGTGGTGGCACTGGGGGTGTCTATATATATATACATAATATATATATATGTATATATAATATATATAGATATATATATATATATATATATAATATATATATATATATATATATATAATATATATATTCCCTACATTTTGTTGATTTACATTATAAACTCTCGAATTATACCACTTTTTTTTATATATATATGAAAAGTTTAATGTACCGAATAATATTGTTGAGCTGTAGGAGTAATCTGTAAGTTTGACAACATTCATCTAATTGGTGATTAACCTTGTGATGGAAGAAGATTCGAACTCAAAAACCTCAAAAATTGCGTAATAATTTTTATGGTAGAAAAGATTCGAACCTCAAAATCTCCAAAATTGGGCGATAATCTTTGTTGGTAAAAAAAACTCAAAGCAACAATTTCTCCCACTCTCTGCGCAACCTTTTTGTCAGAGATCGAAAAACCGATTAGACACATTGTAATTATAGCTAATCTTTATTGGCTGGTGATTGTGTTTCAAGTATGTATATATCCCCTACATTTTTTATTTACATTATAAACTCTCAATTATACCACTTTTTTTTATATATATATGAAAAGTTTAATGTACCGGAATAATATTGTGAGCTGTAGGAGGTAATCTTTAATTTTGAACAACATTCATCTAATTGGTGATAACCTTTGTGATGAAGAAGATTCGAACTCAAAACCTCAAAATTGGTAATAATTTTTATGGTAGAAAAGATTCGAACTCAAAATCTCCAAATTGGCGATAATCTTTGTGGTAAAAAAAACTCAAAGCCAAAATTTCCCACTCTCTGCACCTTTTTTCAGAGATCGAAAAACCGATTAGAACACATTGGCTAATTATAGCTAATCTTTTATTTGGCGTGGTGATTGTGTTTCAAGTATGTTTCTAATACCAAATGCTAATATTTAACGTGTAATCTACAAATACTACGCAAGAAAAATGAAATGTACACACAACTCTTTTTTGTTGTCGGAAAGTGGTGTTTTAGTAATACACGAAAGCTAATGAAAACCAACCACGTGTTACTGTTTGGTATGTATTGTCTGTGATGTGAACAAAGGTTTTATACTTGACGGCTCTTATCAATGATAACTGATAAGGCCATGTTGTTATTGGATTTTTACACCTTTTTTATAGAGGTTAATAATATTTTTTTGGACCACTTTCTTATCTCTTACATGCCACGTAATACTGATTCCTTTGTATATGGCCTCAAAAAGTCATTTCTTTTCCCATTACGGGAAAATAATGGTCGATTTAGATAAAGATTCCCGGTTTGGATTTCAGAAAAGCAACTCCACATTTCTCCATTTGCACTTTTTTTATTTATTTTTGTTTTCCTATATCTAAAATTCTTATAAAATGTTCAGTCAAAAAAAAAAAATCTTGTAAAATGATGTGTTTGTAAAAAAATACTATATATATTTCAAAAATAAGAGGTTGAACCAATAAAATTTTTTTTTTTTCGATTCATGCTGGGTTGAATACTTTATTTAAAAATTATTTTTATTCAATCCATAAGAATTTATAAAAAAGGCAAAACCCTTATAATACATTTTATCTAGCTCGATTATTGATGCAGCAATTATATCTATCATTTTTTGAAATCTTTTTCTCTGGTTCAAAATTATAATGTAACGTGTATCGTTCGAATATTTTATTTGATAGGTGATGTTGATAAAGCTATTGCGAAGACTATAAATTTAGAAATATAGAATAAATGACTTTAAATCTTCATGTACTGATTCCAAGTCGAATTTTTTGAAATTTAAAAGTGAAAATAAAGATCATTTTATCTACTAATAATGGACAGATTGATGTAGAGTCGCTATAATTGAAAAAAATTTTATTTGAATGTAATTTTAGATTTAGACATGAGAATGCGTGTATAAATAAAAAAAATCATAAAAATATAATTATATTTTTAAAAATAATTTCAAGAGAATGAGATCTAGTTTGAGATTTTTTTTTTCTTCTTCAATTTTCATTTGATAAGGGTTATTTTCAAAATCAATACAATAACTTATCTTTTGAGTGAATTCAAAAATACACCTCAATCCTGATTAAGATGTTGAGAAATTGCTTTTGAATATTGACTTTTAAAAAGTCTCTCTAATCACCAAATTAATTAAATAACTTCAGTTATAAATTTTGTAATACATCTATATGAATAATAATTGATTTTGGATTCAATCATATATTTCTATAAAACGTGTAATTGAGTTTTTCAGGAATCGAATTTGTGTTTTTATTCTTAAAAAATTAAGATCGCTTACCATCGCAACCAATATTTTTTTTAATATTGAATTATTGATGTTTTCTTTCCTTTTTGTTCGGTCAATTTTCCCCATTCCTTAAATAATTTATTGCCGTAACCACTAAGGAAAAAGAAAAAAAAAATCTAGATATTGCTTGCATAATTCAAGCATTTAAAGTCAACTTTTCAAATATGATTTTTTTTTTCTTTTTTATATTATGATAGAAAAGATTAAAATATGGATTTAAACCTAAGACTTGCTGATAGAAATCTCAAGTTTTGATTAATCATCCGATGTATGTCAGAGACACTAATTCAAAAAGTATATATATAAATAATTAATCAAACTAAAAATTATTTAAGATAATAAATAATATTATATTTTTATCATATTTAATATATACTTTACGTATATAATATGACCAATCAAAATTAAATTAATTAAATAATCTTTATTTTTTAATCAATAAAATTAAAATCTTTAAAAATATTATATTCTCATCATATTTAATTTATACCTTATTTAATATATAATATAATTTCTTAGTTTATCAATAGAATCTAGATTTAAATAGAAAATTAATATAATTAATAAAAATAAATTACCTTACCATATTTAATATATACTTTAATTTTTTATTTCATTAAATATAATTTAAATTTAAATACAAAATTAATATGAACAATTAAAACTAAACTATCTTTATTTATCTAATAAAATTTAGATTTAAATAGAAAATTTATATAACTAGTCAAAATTAAATTATCTTACCATATTAAGATATACTTTATATAGTTTATAATATAATTTTTTATTTTATCCGATAGAGATACCGATCTAGAAATCTAATTAGTTGAATAATATATAAAATGAATAATTTAATAGCGTAAAATGTTAGTAGAATAAATTTAAATTAAGCTGCGTTTGGCACAGTTATTGATAATTCAACTTTCTTTTCACTCTGGTTTCATTCATTCCCATGTTGCGGAAAGGAACAACTCAGTCTCGGCATTTAAAGTTTAAACAGAAGAAGCCACTCAGATTCAGAAGCATGTGAAAGAAAGGAAAACAGAAAAGCTATTTTAATTTTTAATTGTGTCCAAACACTGACCAAAAAGCTGCTTCTATTGTTCACATCTTACACAAATACAAACAAAACACAGCAACACTATCTCCCCTGCACATGGTGGTCCCCACCCACTCCCCTCTCTTTTTTGTCTTCTCGTTAATATTTTACTTTTTTTTTTTCTTTGCCTCACAAACTTCACCACGTGGCTTCCTCAGCCTCCAGTCATCGTCACCCACCACCACTTGCCTTCCCATGACAGCTACCGTCGCCACATCATCATTCGCCGCCGCCGCCGCCACCAGAGCAACTGGCCGCCGTTCAGTTTGTGTTCTAAATCAAACCGTAATCTCAAACTGAGCCGATTGCTGTTATTTTACAATTTTTATTTTATTAATTATTTTTTCCACGTATTATGCGGATAAGATTAATCTATTTGACATCAATAGCACAAAAATAGTAGGATAATTATTTATATAGTCCTCATATTTTATTTAAATACATTAATAAACACTTTAGTTTTTGAAATTACATTTATAGTCCTTGCAACACGATTCAATGTTAGTCTTTTCATTAACTGATCAAAAAATATCAAAAACATCCCTAAAAATAATTATTGACTGTCTCTTTTCATATCTCTTATTTTTGAATGTCAAAAATATTCCTTAAACTAAAAGATTTTATGCTTTCTAAACGGGATCTTCATCCCTCTATATAAAACGTTTTCGTAGGTATTTTATTTTAAATAGTAAGAGTCCATTGATCATGTGTTTTAAATCTCTCAAAGCTCTCTCTCAAAAACCCCCTTATTTCTTTTTGTCTTCTTGCTTCAAGAAATATTTTTAAAGAGAAAAGAAAATTTTATAACATCTTTCAAAAAACAGTTCTGATCTTTTAAATCCGTTTTCTAATCTTGATTTTTGTTTTCCTGTACTTATATTTGCATTTCTCTCTGTCTATATAGATTCTGTAATCTGTTATAGACAGGCTTTTTTTTTTCAATTGAAAAATTTTTGTGTTTTTTTAGATAAATGTCAATATTAATATCACTAACAGCTGAACATTAAATTGAAGATAAATAATAAGTTCAATGTTTATATTTAACATGGTTAATTGAATGTGTCAAATAAAATTTTCCAATATTATTAAAAAGAGAAAAGTTTTAAGGGTTCAATAATTAAAATGGCAAAATTCTGTTGCTTGTGATGCATTTTTCCTAATATATACATGCATGCATGTGTATTTACATGGATGATGGATCACCATCGCATCCCATGTAGACATTCAATAATTAATTTATTTTTAATTATAAAAATATTACTTTTCTTGAGTTGGATGCAGCTTTATAAGCCCCATTCCTCGCTGTCTCACAAACACCTTTGAGAAGTAGAAAGAGATAGAGAGGGAGTTCTAGAGAGGGAAAACTCTTTAGGGAAAGCTAATTTAGAAAAAAAAGATGGTGGGAATTTCTTATGAACAAGAATCTTGGGGTTCTAAAGAAAACTTCAACCAAGAACAGGAAATATGCCTAGATCAAGATGATAGTTCCTGTCAAGAAACTGAAGATATATGGCAGAAAGTTAATAAAAGCACCATCGCCTCCGCCACCAACAATAATAAGACCTTATTCAGCTCCAAAAGTTGGAGCCACAGTAGCAAGAAGAAGAAGAACCAGGTTTTGCTAGAAGGCTATGTTGAGGTAGCTAATAATGATAATAATATTGCTAATGAGGATGATTTGAAGAGAACAAAGAGCTTAACAGATGATGATCTTGATGAGCTAAAAGGGTGTTTGGATCTTGGGTTTGGATTTAGCTATGATGAGATCCCTGAGCTTTGTAATACCTTGCCTGCTCTTGAGCTTTGTTACTCTATGAGCCAGAAGTTTCTTGATGAGCAACATAAATGTCCCGAGCGAAGCTCTCCTGCTGTGGCTGAGCCTGCTTCTAGTCCTATTGCCAATTGGAAGATCTCTAGTCCTGGTTAGTATTTTCTCTTCTGGGCATTATGTTTTTAATTTTTCTTATTAGTTAATAACTGTGGTTATTTATGGCGTATGATCTGCTTTTGCGTTCTTAAGTTGGAATTTTGATGAGTTTTTGAAATGTTTTAGGTGAATTTTGATATTTGAGTTCAGATTTAATACAATAGTATGATTAATATACGCAATATTGAATTGTACACTGTGATCTTTGATGTTGCTTTTGGGTTAAATTGAAGTGGTTTTTGGGATCTATTGTGATAGTTTTATCATTTGTGTAGGAAATTGTTATTTGGGAATTTGGATCTTTAATTTAGAAGAAATGTTAGGTTCTCTAATTTTGATCTGTAATGCTTGTTGGGGTGATATTATAGAATTGAATCATTTGATTCTTTTGAATTGGGACCTTTCTATTAAGAATTTATTTATTTATTTATTTCTTTATGGTTTACTAATACATTAAAATTGGATTCATTGACTCTATAAATATTATGATGTTAGTTTGAATGTTTAAGCTTCTATTCATCTTTTTCTCTAGATTGACAAAGGCAAGAATTGTTTCATTCTAAATTTTTCTTTTGGTTCCAATATGTCCAGGAGATCATCCAGAAGATGTTAAAGCAAGGCTCAAATTTTGGGCACAGGCTGTAGCATGTACTGTTAGATTATGCAGCTAAAAGATTCTAAACAATTGAATCATTCATTTCATATGAGAGAATGGATGCACATTTTCTTGGCAATGTGAAACAATGGCCTGCATCTGCATGAAGGGCTTATGTCCATTGTACATTTGAGTGCTATGACTCGCAGGAATCGAAGTTCCTGTGAATTTTTTTAGCTGGGAATGGACCAGCTTGGGTCGACATTAAAGTATTAGAAGAAGAAGAGAAATGTTTCAGGTTTGATATTAACCGAATACTCGTATGAGTTTGACTTGATATAGCAGAGTCGATAAAGAGGCAATGATTATTGTATTCGGTGCATTAAAAATAAGTAATTATAAGAATAAAATGATTTCTTCTTCATTTTTTGTTCATGTTAATGTTATTACTAGTGTTTGTGCTCGTTATGGCTACAAAATGTATTCCAACCTAAGCTGTTAGTGCTTTTTATGCAGTGGTGATAGCCTACAATAGCTAGAGCCTTGACTAACTACCTGCAGACCTCTGCATTTGCTGAGGTAACTAATCTAACTGGGTTAAGTGTGTATTTTCATTTTCACTGTTATCGATTCTTGAATGGGATGGTGTCCTAAATTCTAACAATGATACACCTGCTGACTACTGACTCATGATAATCCGTCTCGTGGATAGATAAACTGCCCCATTTGGAATGGTATAGCAAAGGCAGCTGGAGATCGATGGTGGAGATGATAATGGAAGAATTGCAAATCTGTATCTCTTCCTATCGTTATTCAGATGATAATCTTTATGTCAATTTCTTCAACTCGGATTAGAAAATTCATGTCTTTTGAGATTTAAGTTGGCGTATGGCTAATTTCTCATTTTATTTTAGTTATGGGAATTAGTCCATGGTATTGTTTTTGTTTGTCTATTTGATCTATGGAATTGCACATCAAAGTTAGATTACTCTACTTGGCTCGTTGATTCATTAGAGTTTTCGATCTTTTTACCCTTTATTCGTTACAAATGAGTTTGAAGGATAAATTTCATTTACAAATGAGAGTGAGAAATGTCTGTGTGAAATTACAAGAACTGAAGGTATAGAGAAATTATCAGAAATGACTGGTCTTCAAGATCTAGAACTGATGGAAATTTTACCAAGTTAGCAGAAAATTTTCTTGATTGCATTTATGCATATAGAGTTTTTATCTATGCATTCTTGTAAAAATTTCTAGTCCCTTTGAGAAGAGGGGATTCTTCTTCTTCTTTTTCATACTTGAATTGAAACAGAGAAAATGTGAGAATGAATTAAATTTTGGGGAAATCTGTAAAGTCTACGATTGCAGGTCAAAGAAGTGAACCGTTTATACTATTATAATACAATTCCTCAAGAATTAGAAAATTTGATTATGCAGGTGGACCAATAGAAAACAATGAATTAAGCTAATCTAGAATTCAAATTCTAATGTTTGATTTGCCCACATTTATTCCATCTTAAATACCAGCAGCCTATTTGGAATTCTCATTTTCATGTACCCAGTTGGAACTTTCTTTGAATATAACATTTCTTTTGTGTGAATCTGATTATTATAGATAAGATGGACTTTTTCAGAAACAGACAAGCAATTGCTTTCTATTACATATTACGTTTCATTTTTTAATTACTATTGATAAGTACTTCAATAGTTATCCACAACAATGGTTCAAGTTAGAAAATGTGATAATGACTTTATATTAAATAATCAAAAAGTTAAAAAAAAAAAAAAAAATAGAAAAATGTGATATGACTTTATATTAAATAATCAAAAAGTTAAAAAAAAAAAAAAGACAATAGACATATTTTCCTTTAATGAATCAAGTTCCATATTTTTGACACAAAACAGGGAAAAAAAAAAAAAAAAAAAAAAAAAAAGGAAAAAGGAAGGAACAATCAACAAGTTTCCTTATCATATCTGCAAAAAGACAGCGGCTCAATTTAAGTGTTTGTAGCCAAAATTATGGAGAAGTGGATGAAAGAATATACAGCAGGCACCAACATTTGTAAACCAGCCCTTCATTTTCGCCCATTTGTTAAGAACCATCAAAGTAAAAGATTCAGAACCCAAATGAAACGTCAAAAGAAATCTTCATTCTCATGAACATAATTGATCTTCATCATCTCCATGTAAATCTGATGTCATTACACTCTAACATTACTTGTTCTACCTCTTCTACCTGATTAATGACCCTAAATTCAGGGCTCAATGGACATTCAAAATCAGAACCTATAGACCCAACAGTCATCATCTCCATGGATATGGGCATGGAGGTTTGCTGCAGTTTTTGCATGCTAGAGAAGAAACAGGCTCAAGAACTCAAGAAAGCTGGCCTTACAGCTTATATTCATAATCTTGATACCTCAAAGAGAATATATTATCACCACAAGAGCTTACCATGAGCGCCTGCAAACACTTGAACATGTCTGATAATTAATATCTGCTCAGTTTGATTTGCTTAAATTTCAGAATACTTATTCTAAATAGATTTTTACAAGTGATGAAGACCTGATAAGTTTTTGCTTTAGCTTAATCTTCTTCATCTTATGTGAATAAATGATAAACGGTGAAATTTATTTTTCAAATCGATTTTTCACTTGACTTTCTGTCTAAGCTACTTACAAATGCAAAGAACTTCTTCATCCTTTTTTTTCTTTTCTAACTAGAGCTATTCACTGAGAGCAACTATGTCTTTGGATAACCAACTTTCAATTGACTGAGTGTATGGAATTTGTTAATGAGCTGAGCATCTTTTAAACAAAATATGATTTACTTTAACATTTGGAAGCAACATTTACAATCAGAAGAACCTTCCCACCTCTATTCACTGAAACTCACATCATTTCCGGGAATAACCTGCAATCCAACACCATTAAAAACCTATTAACACAAACAAATCTCATACTTTTAAAGAAGAAGCTGAGGTAAACACATTTGCAAGCTTTAAAATTGAAATTACAAGTCTAATTGTAATTGTAAATAATTTCTTACTGAAGTTTTTCTCTAACTGTAATACTAGGAAACCTGGGGACTAACTATTTTCAAGAAATAATCACAAATTCAGATTAATTGTAAATGATGCAAAAGTAAATTCAAGCTAGTACACAGAAAATGTTCAAAGGAAAGCATTCAAATGCAACACAAAACTGACTGCTGAAGTTTCATCCGAAAGGACAACTTCTGGTCTGCCTTTGTTTTACTTATAGAGAGAGAACATAAGATAACTCAAGACACACTGCTGAAGGAAACGATAGACAGGGTAGCCTCATAACCAACCTCAACAGCAACTCCACTGGTGCTTCTAAAGCTAGCATCACAATTCAGATAGGCTGCTACAGGATTATCATCTAATGCCTGCAGCCTTTTACCAGCACCTCCTTGGAGTCCATTGAAATCCTCCTGATATGTATTTGTTGGTTACCTGATAGAAGGGAAGTGATCTTCAGAACAAGATGCAATCAGAGGTAGAAAACTATGATGTTGTACTTGACAACAAGTATTTGCTCTGATTGTCTCCATCGAATTATATGCATTTATCTGGTTTTGGTGGAAAGTTGGCACTGGTGCCATGGTTCCTATACTTGTGCCATGTTTAACTAACATTTGCTAAATGGGGATGCATATATGATTCACTAATTCAAACTGATATAAAACAGCGATAGGACTGAACCTGAGGAATTGGTGTTCTGTTGTTTGCTACGAACTGTTGGTATAATACTTCAATTGCTAGTAAAAATGGAGATCACAAAGTCCTGCCTTAGACCAACATGCAGACCTCAACAGGTTCCTCAGAAATGCCATCAGCTATGTGCCATTTATTCCTTCTTGACTTATTCTTTATGTGAATTTAAGGTTTCCTTAGATCCATTCACAATTTTTTTCCAAATGTAAGAACAAGAGAGAGAGAGAGAGAGAGAGAGAGAGCCTAACAGTCATACAGAAGTAAGTATATGTGCCAACAGCCTTAAAGAACTATAGGCATGTTTTGAAAATGTATGTCATCCAAATTTTATATTCCAAAAATTTCAGTTCAGTTCATTTTCATTATTGGGATATGAAAGAAATGTAATGGTAATTAAATTACATTGATGATTTACAGACAAGAGGAGCAGTCTTTGGTGATGAACATATATATTTTCCCAGATCTAAATCAGCACATGGAAAAGAACTTTTTAGGTAAATAAGACTGGATCAATATGATTCGAAATAAAATACCATTTTAAGGACATCTGCAAAGCTTAATTGGATATCAGAACACAAACTCACCAAAATCGACAATGATTCCTGACCAATGCATGTTCCAAGCCGAACACAGTGATGATCAAAATGAAGAACACATTTGGCGCAATCATGGCAATTCTGGGAGCATCTGGCGGCAGGTTCATATGAACTCATCACTCAAAACCACAAACACAGCATTTCCAACATATTACTAATTGAATTGAATATAGACAAGATGAAAATGCAAAATAATATTGAAAATAGAAAAATTGTTTTGAATCCATTAATTGTTTTTCCTTTAATGAATCAGCATAATTGATTGCACAAAAAGCAGCAATCAAGTTCCTATTTTTGAAACAAACTAAAAAAGAAAAAAAAACAACCATCAAAATTTACCATGTCATATCTACAAAAACAACAACTCAGTGTCATATCAGTGGCCAAAATTGTAGAGAAGAGGAAGAGCGAATGTAAGCACCACATTTTCCCCCATCCGAGAAGCACCAAGCAGAACCAAAATCAGACCCCGGAAAATCTGCTATATCAGCAAAAAAATCCTCATTCTTATCACCATAATTGATCCCATCAAACTCAAACGTATTCACATTATCCAACAGCTCTTCAACACAAAATTCAGCAGCCATTGGATCATCAAAATCAGCCCCTACTTGATTGTCATTAATTAGCCTGATGCGCTTATTACCAGGCAAAGCCATCTCAGAGTTCATAACTTCATCATGCTCACAATCATCTATTTTCCTCTTGCCCTTATTTCTTTTTTCTCTATTTTAGAAAAAATTTTCCTCAAACGACAGAGCACTAATTCAGGGTTCAAATCAGGCAAACTATACTTAAATAAGATCCAACCGCAATGGTGGCTTGAATTTATGTTTCGGTATTTGAACCTTTTTTGGTGGCTTAAATTTATGTTTCGGTATTTGAACCTTTTTTTGGTTGTTACTACCTTAGTCTCAGTCCCGCCATTAGAATCTGCCATAACCGTGGCTTCAAAGGGTTTCCCAGAATCTTCGAACTGTTAGTAGTCAGTGTTTGTTTGTTCTTCTGCAGTTGCGTTTAGTGGGATCGATCCGAGAGCTATTCCACGTGCCCAGACTGCATTTTATGTATCAGATATATTTTCATTATTTTTAACAAATTAGTCCGTTCTAAAACTTGTTTTTCCGTCGGTAGGGTCGAACCGAAATCCAGGAGTTTTTCTAGTGAAGGAATAAAAATTGCAAAGAAAGCAAATGTTATGGCGAATGAAGTCAGAAGCGAGGGGAAGCAATATATACAGACTCGGACGCGGGATATTACGGTTACAAGGAGATTATTTCAAATCTCTGTTATGATTTATCCTTAATGAAGAGTTGCTATTTAGTCCACAGATTTTTACAATTTTAACAAATTAGTCCTTAGTTCTAAAACTTCTTGCTTGTAATAATTTAATAATTTTGAAAGAGTAAGAGTCTCAGACTTTAAGTTTAATTCAATTAAAATCAAGTTGAATTCTAATATTTTTGCAGAGTTCGATTCACCAAGCTCACAAGTAGTTTATCTCACTCGCATCATGGTTAATCACATACCGTGTAAGAGGCCAAGAATGCTTCACTTACACTGCCTAATTGAAAGTGGTAAGGATGTCTGTGCCCTTCCACTGCCGAACAAAACGGTTGTGCAGAGCGGAAACATAGAAAAAAAAAAGGAAAAATAGTATGTCAAAGATACCATTTTACACTTGGAACAAGGATTAAAAATAAAAATTCAACCCAAGATTCTTATTTAATCTCCTAAAGGATTTTGAAATGGCAACAGATTGACATTAATAATCTAAGTATGCAAGATATCTTATTCATTATATTAAAGTAGATATTTTTCTGCTGATAAATCAAGCAACTTATTCATATGAATTCATCATTCAAATCCACAAACACAATATTCTCAATTAACGTACTGCATAATATTACACTACTGAAATACTTTTAGTAATTAAAGCATAAACGATTTCGATCTTGGATCCTTAAGAGTTAAGAAGATCCCAACAGATTCTGTATGTCCTTCTGCAAAAGAAAATGCGAAGAAGAGAAAAAAATCAGATGAAGTTTCTGGAAATCATTATAATTATCAAATACTGTGAAAAAAAAAAAAAAAAAAAAAAAAATATTGTATTAAATGTCAAAGAATATCACAGAAAAGATTTTTGAACACCCACTTCTGAGGTCACTTATACAGGATTCACAATAATACCAAATTTCAATGCTGCAGACGGTCACACATGAATGATGTTAAATAACTGAGCACACTGTAGAAAAGGAGTATGTTTGGCGGCTAAGGTTGGCAGCACACACGAAGAGCGTTAATATAAAGAATTTCATAATGGAGTGAAGAGTGACGATGATATTCATATTATAACATCAATTAGTGTTTGAAAGATATAATAAGAAGCCCTTAGATAATATTAGGATTTTATAGGCCTTTAGAAGGAGAAAAGGTCTTTAAGCACAATGTGAGCCACAAATGGAGTGAAAATTTTGCAAGTAAGGAAAGGATTCGAGAACCACTATAATCACTTATCAAGGAAATGATGTGTCTATGAGTCTATACTGAACACTAAGCTATATTATTATATATCACATTGGCGAGAGAAGCATTTAATTAATTGAAAAAGAGACTAGTTGTTTTAAGTTCACTAGATCACGACATCTAAAGCACCGAGATTTAGACTCGCATCGCTAAGAAGGATTAAGATAGCGATTCACTACACAATTGTATGTTGCTCGCGCTGTGGACAAAAGAAAATGGAAGCATATATGTATAAATTATATCATGAGACTGTACTTTCTGAGGATGAATCATTATAATCTATCAAAACATCATTCTCTGCGCCTGAGAGACACACACACACTAAACAATCAAAAAAAAAGAAAAATAGTAGAACGACATGCCAGCGCCAACGAGAAAAAGATTAGGGCAGTATACAATTGCAGTTAATGAACTAGCAGAAATGACACGTGATGTATCAAAATTCTTAAAGGGTGGAGAGAGTGATGTCTCAGGCGACCAGCATATCCGCTCCACGTCTCCCCTCCTTGTGTCCACCTAAAAACATTTGGTTGAATAATGATCAACTTTATTTTTATATGGGGCTAGGCTAAATCACAAGGCAAAAAAAAAAACCCCCACTCACACGTGACTCCTCAAATTTTACTATTTACCTTACGTGACTTGTAAGAAGGTGCCAGGTGAAAAAAAAAAAAAAAAAAAAAAAAGAAGAAGAGGAAGAAGAAGTAGTGTTCATACCTCAATTTTAAGGGGAGATGTAGTAGGAGCATATCGCTCCACGGTCTTCCCCTCCTTGTTCACTAAAAATTTGGTGAAATTCCACTTTATGGCATCTCCAAAAATCCCACCCTTTTCAGATTTTAGGTACTTGTAGAGGGGTGCAGAGTTTTTCCCATTCACCTCAATCTATATTATTAGTCAGAAGAAGGCATTTTAAAAAATAAAAATTCAACCCATTTCTCCAAATAAAAAGATAAAGAAGCTTGAGATCAGATGATATTACCTTATCAAAAATTGGGAATTCAGCTTTGAACAATGTGCAAGCAGTTTCTTGAATCTTATCACTGTCTCCCGGTTCTTGTCCGGCAAACTGGTTGCAGGGAAATGCCAAGATCTCAAAGCCTACCATAAGAGTAACAGCCCATGAGTTAAATATTTCAAACATCCATATAAACATTGCGAATCAATAAGCCTATCTTTACGAAGAACGACCGACTGACCTTGGCTTTTATACTTCTCATACAAGACGTTCAATTCCTTGTAGTTTGACTGTGTCAAGCCACTGCATTAAGAAGAAGTTTATTCAATAACTATGCAACATGTTTAAATATAATTGGAACAATTAAATGTTCTTGGAAGGGAAGTAAGAAAATGTAAATAGTAGAAAAAGTGAAGTCCTAGTTTAGTGTGAAAAGATCAGGAAACAAATACAATTTATTAGGAAACCTGGGAATTGCAAGTTAATAAGAATGTAAACAGCAACAGAAAATTGCTTATTCAACGATTAATAAGAATCAGCAAGGAAGAAAAAGGTAGCTTGAAATGTTCATAGACATTGAAGAAACCAAGTTCTAATCTTCTATAGAGAGGCATTTTGTTGGCTACTTAATGACAGAGAAAGAAGATTAGATATTCAGTCATTTAGATGGAAAAATGGCAGTTTTGAGATTTAATTAGTTTGCTAAGAATGAGACAGAGACTGAGGATTTACGTGCAACTGATAATCAAAGAGGATAAAACAGAGGAAAAATCATACGAGTAATAAATTACTAAACAGGAAAGTCATTATCTACAGAAAATATGATTTGCTTTACCATTTGGAAGCAACATTCACAATCAGAACAACCTTCCCACGGTATTCACTCAAACTCACATCATTTCCGCGGATATCCTGCAATCCAATACCATTAAAAATCTATTAACACAAACAAATCTCATACTTTTATAGAAGGAGCTGAAGTAAAAGCGTTTGTAACCTTTAAACTTGATATTACAAGTACATACTTATAAACTGGTACTAAATATATCATCTAAACATATTCTATCCAACAAAGAGAGGATAAATTGATTTAAGGAAAATCAAAAGATGCCTTCAGATTGAAAGCTTAGTCCTGGTCAATACTTTCTTTTCCTACAATAATCAGCATATTTTCTTGAGCAAAACTTGCAATCTGCAACTAATTCAGATTGAAAGGCATAAAATATGTGAAAGAAAAATTACCAAGAAACAGGATTTTCTCTAATTTATCAAATAGGAATTATGCTCAGCAAACATAAAGTTAAATTACCTCTAACAAACATCAAAAGCTTAAGAAAATAGATTTTCAATCATAAAGAGGGCAAAAGAATCCACTACAAGAGGGGAAAAAGATAATGAAACAAAAAACCCTAAATAAAAAATTAAGAATGGAAAACTCACAAGGGATAATCATGCACTGTTTAATTGCTAAGATAGCACAAGCATTTGAATATTTAACTCTTTTTCTATTCAGTACAACCTTAACCCATTGAATTAAACTAATAAAATTACACCCTCAACAGAGCAATAAAACACAAAGAAAGCAAAGATTTATCCTTTCATCTACTTTTCAGAAATGATAACAGAAAAAGAACAAAATTAAAAACTTTCTTTTGTATAATCTAGTTTCTCAGCAACTTACAAAGAATGAAAGAACCGAGATACCAGACTATAATCAAGAAAAAAATTGAAGAATAATTACCTTGACAGTGAAATCATAAACAGAGTTGGGCTTTTCTTGAGCCATTTTGTTTGAAGAAGATAGGGATAATGGCTGGTAAATATAGAAGAGCAGAACTGCAAGAACAAGAAAGACAAGAGAAATCCAGTTGGTGAAATTCATGATACAAAAATTAACATATATATAGTAACAGGAAAGTCATAACAAAAAAACTTTCCTTGTAGGACCAGCTATCTTGGAGGGTTTTTAAAATATAATTTGAAAAAAATGAAAAGAACTTTTCAATTATTTAACTGTTATTTAATGATTTCTGGTTGTCTATATGAACATAATACCTGTTTCTTGTTATTTAGTAATTTAGTACAAGGAGGTGTTTTTTTTTGACTAATTTTAAATTTGACCTCTATTTACATATAGCTCAATCTTTTATTATTAGCCACCTTTCAAAACAAAAAACTTTTATTATTAGCCTAAGAGAGCAACATAAATAAATAAATAAATATATAAATAAATATTAGCCTAAGAAGAGCAACATAAATAATAAAGTAAAATATAATAAATAAATAATAATAATATATATATATATATATATATGTAAATGTATATATGTTAAGACTTAATTGTTTTAAGTTATCCAATATATTAAAATTGTATATATGTTAAAGACTTAATTGTTAAGTTATCCAATAAAAACATTGTATATATGTTAAGTTATTCAATACTGTTAAATCAATTAAATACCTAATAGATATATACACATTTATTTGCACATTTAATCAAACCAAGTAAATACGTATATATATTATCAGTAAATATTGACATTTTTTTTAAATTAAGTTTCAAAAACTGATATTTAGTTTAATATTCCATGAATTTTCTACATTATGCACTATCGGTAGTAGTTACAATAATTTAAAAGCCCACGAGGGACGGTACAACCCATTAAAAGGAAGAAAATTAAATGTTACATTATTAAAAATCGAACTTGAAACCTCTCGGTTTCTATATCCCTAAACTGAAAAGATGAATAGTCTTATTTTATTTTCATATAGATTAAAAAAAAAATTGATATAGTTGAACAATCAATTCTATCTTTTCTCAAAGAAAATTCAATTTGATCTATAATTTTCCTAATAAGTTCTTATATTAATATTAGATATCACTTTCAATATAAAAATTAGATGGAAAAATTATTAATAATAAAACATATTAAATATACATACTAAATTTAGCTATATTTTTAAAAGGAAAATGACATAATTTGGAATGAATGAAAAATAGAGTAATTACAGTGTATCACTCAAAAAAATAAATCTAATATAATTTATAAAATTTTACACGAATACTAGTAATATCCAGAGCAATATATACTCTCACAAAATGATTTCTCTGTTATAAAAATTTAAGAAAATAATAAAAAATCCATATGAGAATAATAAAAAATGAAATTATAATATGTAATTTTAATAAAATTCTATATTATTGTATTTTTGGACTCAAATTTGTGAATAATTAACCATGAATGAGGCTTCAAAACTTACTAATGTAAACATATATCTTTTTCCTTCAATATTAAAAAACTATGATTGGTAAAATATATACTCCTTTTGTCTCAAAATATAAATCATTTTAAATTTTTACACAGAGATTAATAAAATAATTAATTCTCATAAATTATAATAAAATCAAGAGCAATTTGATCAAATTATCTATTATGTTAAATAAATAATTATTGTGTCTAATAAAAATAAGAGTAAAATTAAAGAAAAAAATTTATCATTAATTAAAAATTTCAAAACGTCCTATATTTTAGACCAAAACAATCATTCTAAAATAATTTATATTTTACATAAGAGAGTAATAAAAATAAAAACTAAATAGCTTTTTATTTTATACTTGCACGAGGTACCACTTGCTCCCGGAGGTAAATAGCTTGCCTAAGAAAAGTTTGTATTGAAAAGGATTGAACTCATGATTTAAGTTATGGTGATCGACCCCACAATTGCTTTTTGCTACAACTATCCCAATCGCATTATTTTGTTTTCTTATTTAGTTAAAGGTGAATTCTCATTCATTATAATTAATTAATTTTCAAGATTGAAACATTATCCTCCTATAGAATTCTGAGTTATTGAAATCATTACTTATATTTTATTAATAGGTTGTTAAATTAATAAAAATAAATTACTACATTTTTAACCAATTTTATCTACAAGACTAGAGGTATAAATTTGGAGTGTTACTATTCCAATTAAAAAAAATCAATTAAATAAAAATTATCACTAATTAAAAAAAATTTAAAAATAAATTGTATATATGGCAAGTAAACCAACTCCAAGCAATGAGCATGTGCGGGCAGCATTAATATTAGAACGCGTGTGAGGAGGAAAATGTTCACGTATTTATCGCCACGCACGTGGGTGGTGTGAAACCAATTAAAGGCGGATTTGATTTAAAGTTGACTTTTGAAATTAATTAACTCATCAATTTGCTTTTTTTTTTTTTTAATAATTTTTAAAAATCAGAAAATATAAAAAAAAAAAGTAAAATTTTGAAACTGATTTCTCTTTGTTCACCATTGGGAAGGGATTGAATTTTTCTTCTTCTATTTTGATTTTCTGAAATTTTTAATTTTTTATTATTTCAAAAATATTTAAATATTTTTATTATTTTATTATTTTTACATGAAGTAAGTAATCATAAACTTAAATTCACCCAAAATTTTATTTTACCTCAAGTTAAATATCAATATAAAAATTCAAACGGCTCTTCTCATTTATATGAAGAGTATGAGGTTTTGAGTTTGAATTCTCTCGACCATAGTTATTTTCAACAATTTAGTGAACCAATGGGAAGACTATCTCTTATTGTCTAGGCTGCATTGTTATTTGGATCCATAAAAGTCTCCAATAAATTGAAAATTCAAACATTTTATTAATTATAGAAGCTTCTTTTTTTTTCTTTGTAAGAATCAATTATAGAAGCTTCTTGAATATTAGTTGGACAATTATTGTTTTAATTTTTATTTTAGTATATGGAAAGGTTGGGTCATGTTCCATTTTATTATCCTTTTCAAACATAGAATAGAATAGTCTAATTCCTGAAATTCTGCCATGAATATTGTTATGTACATCACAAGGACCTTGAATTCAAATTCATGGTCAAGTATTAAAAAATAGTGAATTGCAATGAAAGAATTCAATGATTTCAAAAATATATATAATAAATTGAATTTTGGATCTTAATCAATTTTTTAAAATATAATAGTGATTAGAGTATCTTCTCAAATATTTGAAAGGGTTGGATCTTGATCTTCACTTTATCACAAGTCAATGATTCATTTTTAAATCACAAAAGATTTCTTTCCTTGATTTCTCATGTCAAGGTGATTAAATAGTATAATGAAGATATATTAATGGGAATCAATATCGTATTGATTGAATGGTAAGTGATTTCAACCCCCTGAAAAATGAGAATACATGTTCGATCTTAAAAGAATATAATTAAAATTAAAATTTATCTAATTGATCAAATTTAAATTTTCTAGATATAAGAGGATTTTCATCAATTTGGTACATATTAATCAAAAGAGATTATTACCTTTATTATATAGTTTACAATTTCATTCTAGCGGATTTGATCTCAATTAATAAAAGTAAATTAATTGAATGAAATTAAAATAAAAAATACTATTGAATTAATCTCTAAAATTAAATGTTCAAATTAATGTATTTTACTATAATCACTATATTTTATTGATTATATATATATAAGAGATTGTCTTGTCCCTGATTCTCATGTCAGAGAGTGTTAATAGTAATGTCGTACGGGTTATGTTAGTGGGACAGGCTGAAGGGATATTAATTAGAGTGGTACGAATCCAATATCGTATTTGATTGAAATGGAAGTGATTTCAACCCCTGAAAAAATGAAAACAATGTTCGTACCCTCTTAAAGAATATAATGTAAAATTGAAAAATTATTCTAATGAATAAAATTTTAAATTTTCTAAGATATATGAGACGGATTTTGTCATCAATTGGGTTACATTATTAATTCAAAAGAGATTATACCCTTATTTATATAGGTTACAAGTTTCATTTCTAGCGGATTTGATCTCAATTTAGATAAAAGTAAATTAATTGAATGAAATTAAATATAAAAAAATACTATTGAATTAATCTCGTAAATAAATGTGAGGATCGAAATTAATGTATTTAACTAATATCAGTATATGTATTGATTACAATACTAATAAGTATATAAATTATATATACGTATATAATATGAGATAATTATATAATACTATATATTATGATGAGTAATACAATATATAGCTATATCAGTAACTTAGTATGAGTCAGTGATAGGGTTGAGTGTGAGATGATGATGAGTGTAAGTTACTGCGAAGAGTTGCGTAGATACCCAGTTTTGCTGGATGAAGGGCGAGTAAGTAATGCCTTATAATGTGGTCCCGTGATGAAGTGTGAGAGAGAGAGGAAAGTGAGGTAGCAGAAGTGTGTGTGGCTGTGGGTCTGCGGGGCAAAAAATAGTAGGAGTGAACTGAAGAGTAGTTCGATCAAGACGAAAATATATATATAATACATTGATTGAGGCGATAAGTAATCTTAATTCCCGTAATAATGAAAATATAAATTTTCTCCAAAAATATAATGAAAATACAAAATCTATTTTGGAGAGTGCATTTACTACAAAGACAAAAGAACTCAATTCCCATAATAATGAAAATACGAAATTCGATTTGGGAGAATGCATTTCTGCAATGATGAAAGAATATATATCTTTGTCTACAATGAACTAAGTACCTAGAAATTTTCTATGAACAGAATTGAGAACTACTTAAAAGCATAAAAGTAAGGCTTGAATCGAACTGGGATCACCTTCCTTTCCTCTCTTTCATGCATTTCTAGATAGGCATGGCCACCGGTTCGGTTCTAACTAGAATCGAACCGGAACCAAACCGTAATGTAGACGAATCGAAACCAAACCAAAATCAGCGGTTTATAATTTTGAACTGGAACCGGCGTTCAAGGGCCGGTTAAGATTCATGTGAATGTTAAAATATGAACTAGAACCGGCTAGGAACCAGTAGTTTTGGTTCGGTTCGAACCGGATGCA